TATATATATATATATTATGTATGTAAGGGAAAATATAGATAAATGAAAAATTGTAAACAATCAAAGAATCTGAGTTTTAAATAAAAAATTGAGTTAAATTCGTCAACCCCTCGATTGGGTTTCATTGGTGCACAGAAGGAAGACTCGTTAAAGCATATTAAAGTGTGTTCATAGTAATAGTCGTTCTCTGGAACTGGGCAAAAGGGCCACTAAGCGACCCCTATCCCATCCTTCATGAATTAGTTTTAACCCTGTGAGATCAGCTGTCCATGTGATTGCTGGATAAGTAGTTCGAGCACTTTGCTCGAGGAAATTAAAATAATTGGAAATAATAAGAAGCAGCTTTGCGCAAAAGCTTTAGTTTGCTGACTGTAGATGAGAAAATAATATAGGTGAAAATAAAGAAGCGACTAGCTCAAAATGTTAGTTTCTTTATTTGCAGATGAGAATAAAAGTATAAGATCCATCGTTATAATATATATAATATAAAAATTCTTTTACAAAAGTGGTAGAGGAAATAAAAAACCGATGAAGTTGGAAACTATATAAATGCCACAGAAAGAAGTATCATTTTATTCGAAAATCAAAATTTTATTAAATAATTTGGAAGAATTCATTCTAAGACTACTGATGCTTAATATATATTTTTAATACGATTTAGCACATTGTACGAACAAAAAAATGAGTCACATATGCATTAAAACATGTCCCAAACATGTATTAAAAACAACTCTCTACACAGCATTAAAGTATAGTATGATTTCTCTTATTATTCTGCTGCCAAGGCAACAAGAACAAGTTTCTTGTTGACGAAATTTAATATGCCACATAATGCAAAGAATTAGTTTTTGTTTCCTTTGATGGTAACGTGACCTTGATTAATTGAATTGAGATGTCGCGTTAAATTTTAGCAGTAAGCAAAACTGTGAACATGCGTCACAATCAAGTTCATTCTTGACTTTATTTGAGCCGTAACATTCAAATTTTTATCGATTTAATTTGCAATTAAAACACAACTTTTTTAAGTCTACTTGTCGTTTGTTCATCGCCAAACGCACTTATACCGTTCTTTCACTCTAAAAACACTCTGAGTCCGTTACTAGGAATTTCCATATACTGAAATCTTCGAAATTAAAACTTGGAAAAATAAATAGTCAAATAAGACAAAGAAATTTCTCCTATAAATCATACTTTTTTAATAAGGTTATTTATACACTTCATACACTCAATTTTTCAAATATCAGTAATGTTTTAAATAGATAAAATATGGTAACATTTCTACTTTTTTCTAAAAAATATTATCCAGAGGTTGTTTATTAGTATGCCATTAATTTTTGCTATTAATTTCTTCATGTAGTTAAAATATTATACCACATTATAAAAGAATTAATTTGCAATGAAAAGTAAAATTATTAATTTTGACTAAATTGTAGCAGAATAAAGTGTGTTTTTAAATGTTCTTCTTTCAAATTTGTTTACACGAAACTTATTGTAAATAATTCTACATTTATATTTAAAAGAAATTCTCAAAAATAAGATAAGCGCCTTTAGAAAATGAAGATAATTGAAAATGCAATTAGTTTAATTAGATTTTCAATTATACGCAAACAATAACTTTTTATAACTCGATTATTTAAAAACGCTACAATCTAATGAATGAAAAGCAGTGTCTACGAATTTTGCGTGGAATCTTGTTTAAAAGGTTAAATAAGCAATTTCCTAATTAATTTTGAAGGATATAAAAACAAATTTCGTTCTAAATTTTTTGTTCTAACAAACTTTTATCATAAAGTATCAGATAAGTTTTTAAAAAAAGCTAACAATTTAAATTATTCTTACGAATAAGATAACTATTCCTAATAGGAAAGCTCTCCGTAACTAAATGACAATTATAACTAACGTAAAATGCAAATGAATTTTCCATTTAAATCATAATGTAAATTGTCCCAGGATAAGTATTCTGCATACTGCGATAAAATATATTAAGCCGAACATTCAATAAAATCGTAATTTTTTCGGGAAAAAAAATCAACTTAGAAGAATCTTTCAGAGTAAGGTATATTGCAATAATATAAAAGTGTGATTGATAGTACGATCCGAAAAAAATTTCTGAATAACTTTTGATTTAATGATCTGATCTGCACTCTCTAGTACTCAATCTTGATGGTTCGAGGAGGTGACCTCAAATATGCTAATTAATTAGAGCAGACCATATGCCAAGCTACAATATCAGATACAAAAACCTACTTTCTCTAAATAAATATACCTTTTTTCGATAGATTCAGATTTCCGACCACCAAAACAAAGAGGGTAGCCGGAAGCTCGGAAATTTGTTGTCAATAGTTTGGTCAGAAGGTTAGCTCTTCGCTCTCCCGTGCCACAGGTCCTGGGTTCGATCCTCGGGCCGGGCAAGGTTGACTCAGCCTTTCATCCCGTC